TAGATAGCACACTCTTAAAGTGCATTGGCACTCGGTGGATACAGAGTTCAATCTGTGTTCCAGGCTCTGTTGCATCTGTCGACGGGAGAAGCCTACACCAGCCAGTCTCGTCCACTTGCATGCCATTGAATACACCCGCTCCTTCGGTGATGAACTTCCATGTGTGGACAGTACAACTCTCGTCTTCAAATCGACGCGCAATGAATCTTTGAACTAGAGGAGCTGTTTCCCCGGATTGAAGCGTTTTTGACTCGACAAATTTCGCTGCAATCGTGTTCTCCGGATCCCCAACATCGTAGCTACGCTGGTAATTTGGTTTGTAAGAATGCTGAGTCTCGCCTACTCCCCACAGTGACTGCCCGGTTTCACGAAGGGTAAATGGCTGCACCATCTTGTTGAGCTGCTGGAAGTACTCCACTTGTTCATCGGAGTCTCTTGTATGAACCGAGTGGAGAGCAACTTCACTCTCAGGAACTGAGGACAGCCCACTGTTTCTAAACACCTCTTCCGCTCTGGTATAGTTATCCTCGAGTTTTCGGATGTACGCATCAACCAGCGCAGGCTCTGAAGATGCGAGACATAGCTTCTTGCGAGACTCTTCTTGACCAGCATATCGCTTTCCCAAGATGCCCCGAAGATTGTCGATATACGAGGACTGTAAGCTGATCGCGGCGTAAAGCTGCTGTTTATCTGCTTCAGCCTGGAAACGCTGCTGTTTTTCACGGCATGCGGTTGATTCCCAGTAGCAGTACGCTGGTGTTCTGCTCGACAGGAACTCGGACTTTTGCTTCTCCATCTTTTCTCGCAGATCAGTCAGCGCTTCCGTTAGTTCCCTTTCTTGTAGCTTCAAACTCTGCCGAGTGTCTTTTTGCTGAATACGATACAAACGGCGTTTTTCATATTCACTCATTTCTGGATTATTGGGTGGATTCTTCCTGCTGCGGCCATTACTCTGAGAAACCAGCGACGTTACTGAGGTCATCATGGAAAGATGCGACTCATTCACATCGACCAGAACGTCCGTTTCGTGAACGTCATCGAGTTCGAAGGCGAAACTATCGAAGTCGTCGGACGATGACGTTGCTGCTGTCGTTGCCACACTCATGGCAATTTCCAAGTGAGTGATTAAGCTGACTATTCAGACCACGTAAGGCTGGTCAGGGTTTGCACCGATGAAATCCGAGATTGCGTGAATCGAATCGAACCAGTATATTAGCAACGTTTCTAAGTAAAACAAAAATAGTTTTAAAACGCTTTAACCCCTTTATTACCGCGAATTCAGGCCACGAACCGCCTTATTTTACGTCGTAACTTACAGCATACAATTATCTCGGAGTTTGTATTAGTCTGTCTTTTCCACTTGTCTAATCATTAAGATGGGACTATAAGTTATACAGAGGTTTCCGATTTTTACGTCGTAACACTGACGACGTACTTCAGCATCGCTGACTAACAAGTACACAGATACAACTTAGCCGATCATGTGATCGGGATCACAATCCACAAACACAGTTATAAACGGAGCTACACAGCACAGCAATCATATGAAACTCAACAAAATGCATTAGTAGCATTGCTAAAAACCGTACGGGAGGCTCACTAGCTCTCTTCTTTCTCCTCAGACAAGATTTCTCGACGTGTCTTCTTTCGCACTCCGGCGGCCTTGGGGGCACGGCGCAGAACGACACGCTTACCTAGGTGACTCGGAATTGACGCGCCACATTCGAAGTCGTCGTGCCACACTTGAAAACACGTTGTATCCGTGCCTCTGCGCGCCTTGGGACAGAGGAAGCACTTTGCATCACCCTGCGAGCAGTCTTCACAGTAGTAAGTAGTCTGGTAGCTTTTCTTCTGCTCACCTCGATAGAGGGAGCACACCTTGCAAGAGCGCTGGCGCCGCTTCTGAACGCCCGATACAATCACCCAATCATCAAGCTGCTTGTGTACGTGGGAAGCGTTGCGGCGGCGCTTTGGCGCGCTTGGAGACGGTGATGGCGCTGCTGTTTTGAAGTCTTCGTCCGTGAGCTGCGTGAGCTGCTTGTGCAGCAACTTGTACCAGTCCACGCGCTTCATTGGGGCGACGCCGTCGAGGCGACAGGCCTCATTGTGTGTGATGTACGCGTTTACAAGCGCTAAGTCAAACAGACCTAAGAATAGACCCTTATAGTACTTTCGGAACCTGAAAGAAGTCTGGACGGAGAACGTTTGAAGGCGGAGTTGATCATGCACATCAACTCCGCCCATCCAGCGCTGGTAATCGGTCACCAGTTTGGGACAGCTGAACGTCGACTGCCCCACCGTCTTCAGGTTTCTCTTGATGGTATCTTCGGCCATTGACACCCCAGTGGCCAGGTAGTGCACAGGCTTGCGGTCCCACCAGTGGCATGCAACCATGGTGGGCACCGCAACCGACCTTGAGTACGTGAATGACCCGCGCTCTACTGTGGTTGGTCGTGTTTTCCTTCGCTCAACGACGTGCTTGTCGAATCCCAGCCTTGACGTCATGATTGTTCCAATCATGTAGACCGACATCGAAAGTAGTTGAATGGCGAGAGCAACGGAGGTGTAGAATCTGTCGACAACAATGACACGAAATCCGGGGTCGTTCTCATCCAACACAGCCTTCAAATTTCGAATTACAGCGGCTGCTCCTGTCTTGTGGTCAAACGCCTGACTTGCACTTTCATGGTTTTGACGCTTCCCTACATATATCTCGAATCTAAAGTCGTAAGTGACAACATAATGCAAATGTCAGACCATCAAGTCATAACTTACGACTTTGCAACATTTATAAAAAAAATGCGCACCTGTGGCAGTAAGCAGACACTGCGTCGCACGTCATGAACATCTTGGTGCCATAACGGTGCGGCTTGTCCGGCATAAACATACGGGTACTGTTACGCTTGGACGTTTGAGGAAGTACACCTTCGTCGAAAGAGATGATTGCAGCCACTATCCACGCAGCTAGGAATGTCATTTGAAGTACGTCAACAACAGCTCGCAGTTTCCACAACTTGTCTCTTTTGTCAGCTGTGTCATTGTTGCAGAAATGTAGATCTCGTAGGATAGAAGTACAGCGATTTCGAGAAATGAAATTGCCAAACCGTCCCGCCGAAAGCGCGCCATCATCGGTCATAGCCCAGTGATCGGAAAACGGACGGGTAGGGCTGAGCATATGAGCTACAAGTAGACCCATGACACAAAGAATCTCGCGCGGTACGTAATCAGGTTCGACTCGTATGCGGCGGCGAACATCCCGTAGCGTTTGACCTGGTACGCTGCGTCCTTCACGAACGAGACGTGCACGCTCTTGGCGCGCCTTTTCCTCGAGGTGTGACCTTTTGTATCTGTTTGTCTCGCTCGTGATGAATGTCCACAGGTTCACCGGCATAAAATAGAATAGCAATTCCAATGGAGAATCCTTTTTAGCACGAAGTGCTTCCACAGGCCTAGCCGCTTGATCCTTCATATCTTTGAACGCGCTATTGTCGGTTTCATACTCGGAGGATGCAGGAGTCCACGCCATCGAACGAAGTGTAATCTGGTTCATGTCTTCGATAGATAGAGAACCGCCCGAAGCAATCCATAAAATGCTGGATCCATAAAGGGGGCCTTCTTCCTTCGTCAGAGAGGCGTCGTCAACAAATTGCCTTTGAACACTATCATATCATGAGAAGACCCAAACCGTACGAATCCGAGTCCATGCTCTCATACTCGTCTGCATTGTCCTCGTCCTTCATGATGTTCACGTCCTCTTGTAGCAAGCCACGATCTTCTCTCGAGTTTGTTCGCTCATCGTTTCGTCTCGAGTTTGTTGGCGTCACAGGCTCGACAACAGCACCATTTTGACCGGCGCATAGTGACAGCGCTACATCTGGTTCATCACCGCTCATACCTCCACAAAATATCTCGTCTATGGTGTTTGCTGAAAGCGCAATACTTGTGTCTATCTGTGACGCCCTTGAGCTCTCATCCTCTATGTGCGGACTTGTGGCGCATAGCGGAAGTTCTGCAGGTGTCTCGCTGTCCTCGCTATCGGATCCAAACAATGCTTCAACGGTGTTCGCTGAGAGAGCAACACTCGTGTCTATCTGAGACGGTGTTACCCTCTCACACTCTGCAGGAACTTCTGGCTCACCTTCTTCACTCTCGTCGTCTCTGTCGTCGCCTGCACCTCCCTCGTCAGCGCCAATGATGCCCTGTTCAAACGCATACTTTACTACCGCATGTTCTCCTTCGCATACACAGCACAGAGCACGTATTAGACACACTCACAATAGACTAACCACATCAGACTTACCGACAAACATGTTCACGCCCTCGATGTGTAGCTCCTTTGCAGCGTTCGGTGGGTAGTACGAGTGCAAATTGGACAGCCGCGTTGGCCTCTTTGACGTCCATCCGACACGCACGAGCTGACGCCATAGATGACCAAAATCCACATCTCGCACGTCGATTCCTGAGAGCGCCTCTGCTTGAGCTTTTGACCGCTTGCTTGTTCTGACCGGCATCTTTGCTTGAGCCCGCAAATTCTGTACTGGTGGAGAACATCCACCGTCCACCAAACGTACGGTCCCCAGATAGTGGGACAGTGAATCCACCTACAGCCTTTTTCTCCCCTGTCGCCCACTACCTTTCCAAGCTTATATTTTTTTTGCAGAGAAACAGACTTGATTAAAGTATGTGATCGTCGCATCTGAGCCATTTCCTGTTTATCTTGACAGTTAAGTCGTAACTTACGACTTAAGGTTTTCACTACGTCGTAAGTTACGACGTTGGTAACCAAGGGGTTAAGTCTCAAAAACCCTACTAAAATGCATGTTTACTTTAATGAAGTTAAGTAGGTAGTCGAATATGAGCACGGAGTATTAGACAACGTGTCTATTTTAAGTATTTCATGATTTATTATATTATTAATACGTGTTTTGGCCGTTAGATGATTGATCTCAAGTCAATCGATGCAGCAATAAGTTCCAGTTACACAGTTTTATTTGGATAATCTATCCAGTCAAGACGTCATCAAGCAGCAAGCTCTCCAATCTCTTCGACATCTCGTTCCTGTCGGCTTCAAGCGACTCGTGGAGCATGTTATGGAATAGCGCCACAGCTGGCTCGCGGTTGGAGGACACGTTGAAGCGCATGGGCACTTGTTGCACACACACTTCCAGTACCACTCCAGTGTCTGTTGGTCTCACACTCATCCACGCCGTCTCCTCTGCGTGTAGTCCATTGAAGTCTCCTTCGCCCTCTAAGGACATTTTCCAGACGAGAAGTAGCCGATTCGACTCCGTGAGAAGCGCGAGATGAAGCGCTGTACCAGTGTACCAACGTTGAGCGATGTAAGGACACGTGACTTGATAAACACGTCGTCGTCAGGTGCCGACTCATAGGCGCCAAACGCAGGCTCGTCTTGCTCGTGTATCGACGTCCAGATTGCCTGACAAATCTTGTCGAAAGTATAGGGCAGCACCACTTTATTCAAGTGCTGGAAATACGCCACGTCGCCGTCTCCTTTCCGTCTGTGGGTCGAGTTGACGGTCGTCTCGGGCATCGTCGGTAAGCCACAAGCGGCCATGACACCGTCCACACGAGCGTACGAGCCTTCAAGCTGCTGCAAGTACGTCGTGTACAGTGCACTCGTCATTGAGTGTAATGCTGGGACATTGTTGTAGCAGTTAAAACTGTTGTCATCACCGAAGGGAACAGCGTTCCCATTCAGTCGATTGCCAGCAGCCTGTCGAAGGCCTTCGAGGTATGACGCTTGGTAGTTCACAGCGGCGATTAGGCGTCTCTGTTCGGCCTCGGACATCCGTCGTTGGTCACGTTGTCGAACCGTTTCCGAGACCCATTCGGAATGCGTTAGCACGTCGGCGGACATTTGCAGCTCCTTACGCATGGCGGCTTGTTTATTCAGTCGTGCAAGCTCCTTGGACAGCTCATCAACGTGTTGCTGTAGCTCGTCTCGACTGTCTCGAAGACGCTGTCGATACCGTCGTTGTCGCGTCTTCTCTCTCTCGCGTTTGCGGCTGTGTTTGTCGGGCTTGCCGTAGTCCTCGCTGCCAGTGGATAGGCTTGGCGAGCCCGTATCCCCACTGAAAAGTGCCGCGGTGAGGGCGTCGGCATCTTCAGTCAAGAGTGTCGGTGTGAGGGAGCCGTTGAAATCCAGGAGGCCCACGATATCGTCGAACAAGATCTCGTCGGTCGTTATCAGCTCAGTCATCTGGAGCGGTTGTGTGGGGAGTGAGTGAGCCGACAGAGGCCTAAGTTCGCGATTTGCGACGCTTATGATCATGATGGGACTCAGTGGCATCTTCACATTTCCTGCGTGGGTGATCGGTACATTATTCTTTGCCCACAGTCCGTTTCCTTCGTTGTACGAGCCAATCGGGTTCCTTTCCTCGATCGATGGAAACGTGATGCTGGCGTTAGACGTCGCCACTAGAGACCAGTGTTGGCTTTATGGTCACAATCCCGTTGGCAGGACGCATTGATACCTATGTACGTCATGCGCCGTTAACGTGGGAGCTCTTTATCGGTGCAGCGTTGGTAATGACAGGATTTTGTATCCTGGAAATGGCCTCACTGGACAATTCGTCGAATACCAATACGCACACCAACGTCGATGTGGGCACCGAATCAGCGTAAGGGAGAAAAAAGAACGAGACAAGATAAGTTAAAACGTGAGTTTCTTGTTAAAGTCATGCATTTGAATCCGATTATGCTTATAGTGACTTGATCGAATAAGAATGAATGATTCGAAGAAATGGTTACTGTATCTAACTTGGTGAAACAGATAGCTGGTTGCGTTGAAAAGGGTGATATTCTGTACATCGAGGCTCTTTAGTGCTGGTCGGAATTGATTTTGTTGCTGACATTTTTCGGCTAAAATGGCTACAATATCTTTTATGGCCATTGACCATTTTCATTTTTCAAATTGTTCACCTATTAATACCGGGTAAACAGCTATGGATAAACCATTTTGGAAATGGTTGAGTATTTTCGACTGACCATCACTCTTTTAATATTATGAATTGTAAGCTTCATCTTCGACGTGAACCGACACTTGCATGCGGCTAGCAAAGCGTTCAGGGGCCTTTGCATCACTCAACGTCGCTCAAAGCGTGAGTATGATGTTGCATGGTGCTACACCGAGCCTCCAAACTGGCAGAAAGGAGCAATACGCAGGCTCTAGATGTTGGAAACTGGGGTGATTGTGGACCAGTGTCTGGATCTGGACCAGTGATTTGATGCGCCGGGCAGCTGCGTTCATCTGTATGCACAGGAGGTTAGACATGAGATCTAGGCGTAGTTAGTTCGGATGTCAATTTCACTCTATCTTTTGCGTTGTGATACTCAAGTGCGTCGAAGTGCTGCCAATCAGGCATTAATGGGTCTTGAGCCCAAATGACCAAAATCACTGACAAGGATAGCGGCGACGCTGCGTCAGCGCAGACGACCGCTTCACCTCCGACCGGTCACGAAAGGATTGGTACAGTGGCCGACACAGAAGAGAAGAGGGCCGCCCCGTCACTCACAATGACGGCGCCGTCGCTGGCGCTAGTGCACCACCCGCCGGACACACGACCAAAAACTTGGTCGCCCTGATTCAAGGCATGGCCAAGCAGATGGACACCATAAAGGTCGCGTACGAGTAGCTGTCGGAATCCCAGTAGAGGATGCGTCCCCAGCTGGAGGCGTATGCGAAGCTCGGTGGCGCGCAGCGTATGAACTTTGGCCTATCTGCTTCAGGCCTAGGAGGTGGGTCAAGAACGCACAATGATTCGCTCAATAGATCGCCGCAGACACTGGTCACCAGATCGACGGCAAGGGTAATACTTCGAACAGCACCAGGTTGGGAATGATTGCCATTGTCTCACCTACAACGACTGTACAACACAGCACAAGCGGAGCAAGTGGCAGTGGAACGGGCAGCACGAGCAGCTGCGGCTGCGGCACAAATGCATGAAGGTCCTGGAGGACAAGGGGGTCAGATGCACGCCGCGCCTACGGGTCTCCAGCAACAGCAACACCAAGTGGTGAGATACCCAGATGCACGACAGAAGAAACTGATGATTCGCCCTTTCGACGGCAAGGAGATGTATGTGGAGCTGGGCTCCGGCTTCCTGGAATGGGGAAGGCGTTTCGAGCGCCAGGAAAATATCGCGCAGTCTGCTTGTGAATTCCTGTGGCTGAAAACCGTGAAGGTGGATGCTTGGTGGGCGCAGTTACCCACGCTCTAGCACAACATGGAGAAGATGTTGGAAACGTTTAAGACGACTATCACGCCTGCGCATGCGATGAAGCTGTTTACGACGCCCAATGACCCGAGACGCTCGTGGCCGGAACAATACATGTACCTGGTGGCCATCTCCGAGGCTTTTGAAAACAGCGCTGAGTACTTGGTCCTGAATAACAGTATGCGTTCGTGGCCTTGCGTACGGTGCTTATGGCTAAGGGGTATGGATCAAGGGCGGACTACCTGCAACACGGGGAGGGGCTCGCTCATTTTGCTCAGTCCTGGGAGATCGAGACGGGAAGGGCAAGAACCTTGTGCGTGAAGTGGTGAACACGGTAGGCGATCGGGGGAAGGAGACACGCAAGTGCCATCACTGCGGTGGGGTTGGGCATCTCCGTGCGGCCTGCTCAGAGAAGAACAAGGAGTCGGACATCACGCTGGCTGTGAGCGAGACGTTGGATGAGTCCGACGAGATCTTGATCCTGGATAGCGGCTCGAGTCGTCACCTGGTGAACGTCGCGTTCTGGCTCGAGGACGTGGAGCAGTGTAACGACCAGTGCGTACAGCCGAACGGCGAGACACTCTCAATCAGCATGAAAGGCTCAGATACTCTGCGGGTCACTACGTGCGGAGTTGAGCAGACGGTGGAAATTGTCCGACGTTTACTACGCGGAGAGCGTAGTGAACAGTTGGATATTGTACGGTCAGCTGAACAAAAAGGGCCAAACACTTGTCTAAAAGGGCGAACGACGCGTCGTTGCGGCCAAGGCTGGTGGAACAGTGGCTTTCGATGTAGAGTTGCGTCGAAACGTTCTGGTGGTAATCGGAAGAGCGGAAGGGGGGTCGAGGCCTCTGTTCGAAGTGATCGTGGCTGTCCATGAGGAGGAGGCAAATGGGTCGGGCGACGTGTCGAGCAACGTGCAGCAAGAGACGCTGATAGATTTCCATCGTAGCTATGATCCATCTAAACTACGATACCGTGGAGCGCCTTGCAAGGATCCAAGTCCGGGCATCAAGCTCACGGATCACAGACGCGTGAGAAGTTTTACCTGCGCGCAGCGAAAAAGGCTAAGAACAAACAATCTGGAAAAGATACGGGTGATAACTCGCCGATCCATCGCGTTGGGGCGTTATTTGCTCAGCCTTAAAGGGCCCGATGACCCCACGCGATCGACTTAATAATCGGTTGATGATCAATTTTGTCGATCATAAGAGCAACTACTACAGGGTTTTCTTAGCGAAGACGAAGGACGCTGCAGTCAAGCAGCTCGAACATTTCTTACGTTCTTCGAGAAGAGTTTCGACTGTAGAATGTACGTGCTGAGAGCCGATTCTGGAGGCGAGTATCAGAGTGTGGACTTATTCTGCAAGAAGACGGGGTGGCGCAACAGCGCAGCGAGGCTAACAACCAGGCGAGCAATGGGAAAGCTGAGCGGATGAAAAGGACCATTATGAACATGGCTCGGTGTATGATCTTTGCCTGCGGCCTTTCTTTGCGTTTCTGGGGCGACACGACCCAGTATGCAGCTTACATCCTTTAAAGATCGCCGACGAACTTGAATCCTGGACAAGCTTCGTCGCCGAAGATGCCCGAGAAGAAGGCGCCGTCGCTCAGTGAGATATTGTTTAATTTCTTCTCCCGTACGGTTTACATAGATCCTCGTAGCAAGCATTTCTCAGAGCGGGCGCAGCAAGGAATGGTTGTCGGCATCGGGGAGGAGACCAAGGGGACAGGGTGTACCTGCCAAAGGATCGTGTGGTCATTACCACACAACACGTAAAAACATCGAGACCCTGATCAAGGAACAGAACGAGCAAGTGCAGAAGCTGTATCTTTAGGATGAGGTTGGGAACGGCGCGGATGAGTCCGCGAACGGCACAGAGAATGCTGCTGTGGCAGCATGCGCTGGTAGCAAGACCAGGCACGGTGCTAAGGGAAAGAAGCGCGCGAAGAAGGCGTGGCGGCGCAACAGACACGTGACGCGCTCGATAGCGCGCAATACTGCGGAAGGAGTAGACGAGTCTGCTCAGCAGGAGGAGACGCCGGACAGTGTCGAGAACAGCGTAGTAGAAGTGGACCCCAAGACCTATGGAGAGGCTATGCGTAGGCAGCGACCTGAGCAATGGCAGAAGGCCGTGGAAGAAGAGCCAAAAGGCCTGGAATCGAACGGGGTGTGGAAGGTGGTGCGTGCGCCTCGAGGGGTACGTATACTTCACACCAAGTGGGTGTTTAAGACCAAGCGAGACGCTGAGGGAGCAATTGAGCGCCTGAAGGGCGTCCCGTGGCCTGTGGGAGCGGCAGGAGTTTGGGGTCAACTACAGCATCACGTTCGTCGCTGTAATGGACGTGTGAAGTGTAAAAAAAATACTTTGTTTAACGAGGAAGTGGTGCGTACCTGCGAAGCATGGGGACGTGTCGAATGCGTATGTAAATGCTGACAAGGAGGTGGAGTTGGATATTTACGTCCGAGTACCGCAGGGAATGACTATCTCCGAGGAGATCAAGCAGGCTTGGGGTCACGAGCAATAGGGAACTAGTGCCGGAGCTACAGAAGGCACTATACGGGATCAAACAAGCCGGTCGCCTGTGGAGCAAGCGGCTACATCGGAAACTGGTGAGTGTTGGATTTGATGAAAGCCTGACTGACATGTGTATATACTACTGCTGGCGCAACGGAGTACAAGTTGTGGTGGGTGTCTATGTAGACGACCTGCTGGTCACGGGAACGGAAGCGGGAGCTGTCGATGCTTTTTTCAGTGGGCTTGCGGACCTGTATGTGAAGAATCTTGGTGTTGCAAGCAAGTTCCTGGGCATACGTGTGACGTACGACGAGAGGACGACGGTCATCACCTGGACCAGGGAGTAATGATAGCGGTTATGCGGAAGGAGTTTGGTGTGGAGGCTGCACATGCGGCTCGCGTGCCAATTGGACCTAAAGGAAACGATGCGGATGCCACTGAGGCACTGATTGTGTCAGGAGGAGATGACGGAGGGACTGTGACGATGTTTCAGTCGTTGGTGGGAAGCTTATTGTACGCGTCCGGACATCGCTTTCGCTGTTCACAAGGCGTCGCGCAAGACGCATAACCCGTCAGTCGGGGACTGGAAGCTGGCGAAAGGGATTCTTCACTATCTGGCCGGAACGAAGGAGCTGCGGCTGCAGATGATTGGAACGAAGGGACGGAACGAGGCTTTTGATGTTGTAGCTTACATCGATGCCGATTTTGCAGCAGACAAGGAGAACAGGAAGTCCGTTACGGGTGGTCTGGTGACGTTGGATGACATGCCAGTGAGTTAGGTGTGTAAGAAGCAAGGGGAGGGGATCTCTCTCTACGATGGACGCTTAGTTTACAGCCGCCTCTGGGATGGCGAAGGAAGTGCTCGGGGTCCGAGAACGTTTTGGAGAGCTCGGGGGAAGCTCGCGGAGCTGATACCGTTGCTGGTGGACAACCAGGCCGCCCTGAAACAGCTTGACGGAGAGACGGCGTCGGCCAAGGCGAAGCACATTGATGTGCGAATCAAGTTCGTGGGCTCGTATACTCGGAGAGGTGTACGGAGGCCTGAGTACAAGGAGAGCGCGGACATGCTAGCGGATCTGATGACGAAGGCGCTCGTTGCGCCGAGAATGGCGGCGGTGCGCGAGAAGATCGGGATACATTAAAGAGACTGGAGTGACACCCGTCAAAGGAGTATGGAAAGAAGAATGCACGGCACTACCGGCGAGGAGTAGTGTTGGAAATTGGGGTGATTGTGAACCAGAGTCTGGATCTGGAGCAAAGATTTAATGCGCCGGGCAGCTGCGTTCATTACATGCACAAGAGGTTGGACATGCGAACTAGGCGTAGTAAGCTAGGGTGTCAATCTCACTCTGTCTTTTGCGTTGTGATACCCAAGTGCGTCGAAGGGCTGCCAATCCGGCATTATCACTACACGTATAACGGGCATGTCAATACCCCAAACAAAATATGCTGAGGCTAACGACAAGCATGTAGGAGTGCTAATGGATATTTTTGTGTCATTATTAATTTGACCTTCTTATATACTCACAAGAGGGTTTATGTTTAATTACCGGGAAATTTTACAGGAAAACTGGGTTAGCACGCAAGACTTACTATTATAGCAGACGCCGCTAAAAAAATCGTTCGAAAACGTGATTTCGCTAAAACAAAAGCTATTTTTAATAAATCTGCCAGATTTTACCGAAATAGCTGCTTCGTGGGAAATAGCGATACCACGTAGTAATACTATTCTTTATTTGATAAGATGAGAGTAGTGATAAAGACGACTATAAGACAAAAAGCTAGAGGGGCACGATGATATCGTTCTGGATGAATTGCAACACTCACTCAACAAGTTGCTCACAGTTATTTGGGAAAAGCCGTTGAAGTCACGCCTTCTAGCCGTTAAATTTTTGGCTGCAAGACGATATATGACATGCGGAAATCAATACCGACTCTCGTACAGGAATACGTCAGGAAAACGGAACCACATGTCTTTTATATACACATCGAAAGACGCAAGATGTTGTGTCGCTCCCCAATGCACATGAAAATTCTTTAGAAAAAGAAAACGGCTAAAACAAAATAGAAGGCCACCTTTCATGTAATAGACTGAAGAAGCGTTTGTGTTGTTTGGCAACAAATTGAAAAGTGACTATTGTTAGCTAGAATTTCTAGGGCGTCTACACTCTATCGTGTCCACTCCTTGATCTTGTTAAGTCCTTCCCGTGGTCTTGTTTAGTCACTAAATTCCGTCCCGTAAGCTTACCGTAAACTTTACCGTAAACTGTACCCATATTTAGGTACCATATTGTTTTACATGTTCAGTAATAATATGTACGGATACGTCACACGACCTCCTTTTGAAAGAAGGTGCTTATTTCGTCGGGCAGTTTGGAGCGATGTGGCCGACGTTCTTGCAGCGATGACACGTCGCTGAACTCTGCCAGTCCTCATTAGCTGCTGAGGCTCTTTGCCCTGCGTGATCGAAACGAAGCGCTAGTTGAATAGACTCATCGAGCGTCGCCGGATGATGTTCTCGCAAATGATTTGCGGTTGCCGGCTTTAACCCTTGTTGGAAGTAGAAACGCAGCTCCAGCTGGCTGATTTGCACCGTGCATTGGATGAGCAAGTTTTGAAACTCTGCCACGTAATCATGAAGTGACGTGGTCTGACTAAGCGCACACAGTCGCTCCCGTAAGCGATACTCGCTGTCAGGTGGTAGGAATCGCTTGCGCATGGCTGCTTTAAAAATAGCCCAGGTCTTCACGTTTCCTCTCGCGTCACAGTCCGCTGAAAATTGGCGATACCAGCTCATAGGGGTCACCTTCAGATGACATGACATCATCGTGACAAATTGGGGCAACTCCTCCGTCATCTGAGGATGATAGTCCGCGTAATATTGTTCCACGGCCAAAACCAAAGCTCGAGATCCTCGTCTAGCTTTCCGTATTACGTTGGAGGTTGATTTTGGCGGGCCGCTGTTGGCCTCGATGTGAGCGCGTCGATGCGTGCCTCGCTGGCAGCGTATTGATGCTGCATAATTTCTTGAAATTGCGCTTGTTGGCGGGCGAGAAGTGCGATGACCTCTTCAAATGACTGCGGCGTGCTGGTCTCTTCCATAACGGTGCACGTCTCGGCTCGAAGGTCGAAGTAGTGGATACAAGTCGATGCTTGGACCAACAAGTGCTACCATGTAATAGACTGAGGAAGCGTTTGTGTTGTTTGGCAACAAATTGAAAAGTGACTTTTGTTAGCTAGAATTTCTAGGGCGTCTACACTCTATCGTGTCCACTCCTTGATCTTGTTAAGTCCTTCCCGTGATATTGTTTAGTCACTAAATTCCGTCCCGTAAGCTTACCGTAAACTTTACCGTAAACTGTACCCATATTTAGGTACCATATTGTTTTACATGTTCAGTAATAATATGTACGGATACGTCACACGACCTCCTTTTGAAAGAAGGTGCTTATTTCGTCGGGCAGTTTGGAGCGATGTGGCCGACGTTCTTGCAGCGATGACACGTCGCTGAACTCTGCCAGTCCTCATTAGCTGCTGAGGCTCTTTGCCCTGCGTGATCGAAACGAAGCGCTAGTTGAATAGACTCATCGAGCGTCGCCGGATGATGTTCTCGCAAATGATTTGCGGTTGCCGGCTTTAACCCTTGTTGGAAGTAGAAACGCAGCTCCAGCTGGCTGATTTGCACCGTGCATTGGATGAGCAAGTTTTGAAACTCTGCCACGTAATCATGAAGTGACGTGGTCTGACTAAGCGCACACAGTCGCTCCCGTAAGCGATACTCGCTGTCAGGTGGTAGGAATCGCTTGCGCATGGCTGCTTTAAAAAGAGCCCAGGTCTTCACGTTTCCTCTCGCGTCACAGTCCGCTGAAAATTGGCGATACCAGCTCATAGGGGTCACCTTCAGATGACATGACATCATCGTGACAAATTGGGGCAACTCCTCCGTCATCTGAGGATGATAGTCCGCGTAATATTGTCCCACGGCCAAAACCAAAGCTCGAGATCCTCGTCTAGCTTTCCGTATTACGTTGGAGGTTGATTTTGGCGGGCCGCTGTTGGCCTCGATGTGAGCGCGTCGATGCGTGCCTCGCTGGCAGCGTATTGATGCTGCATAATTTCTTGAAATTGCGCTTGTTGGCGGGCGAGAAGTGCGATGACCTCTTCAAATGACTGCGGCGTGCTGGTCTCTTCCATAACGGTGCACGTCTCGGCTCGAAGGTCGAAGTAGTGGATACAAGTCGATGCTTGGACCAACAAGTGCTACCATGTAATAGACTGAGGAAGCGTTTGTGTTGTTTGGCAACAAATTGAAAAGTGACTTTTGTTAGCTAGAATTTCTAGGGCGTCTACACTCTATCGTGTCCACTCCTTGATCTTGTTAAGTCCTTCCCGTGATCTTGTTTAGTCACTAAATTCCGTCCCGTAAGCTTACCGTAAACTTTACCGTAAACTGTACCCATATTTAGGTACCATATTGTTTTACATGTTCAGTAATATTATGTACGTATACGTCACATTTCATCAGCATCATCATCAGAAATAGACAAAAAACTCACGTTTTCACTTATCTTGTCTCGTTCTTTTTTCTCCCTTACGCTGATTCGGTGTCCACATCGACATTGGTGTGCTTATTGGCGTTCGACGAATTGTCCAGTGAGGTCATTTCCAGGATACAAAATCCTGTCATTACCAACGCTGCACCGAAAAAGAACTCCCACGTTAACGGCGCATGACGTACATAGGTATCGATGAGTCCTGCCAACGGAATTGTGAGCATAAAGCCGACACTGGTCTCTAGTGGCGACGTCCAGCACACAGCGAACGTCAAGAAGATGAAGTTGGTCGTGAACATGACGACTCCAATTGCCAGCATCACGTTTCCTTCGATCGAGGAAGGGTAGCCGATTGGCTCGTACAACGAAGGAAACGGGCTGTGGGCGAAGAATAATGTACCGACCAACCACGCAGGAAATGTGAAGATGCCACTAAGTCCCATCATGATCATAAGCGTCGGCGTATCGTTGATGTTGGCACCTGCCGTTAGCGCAACGGTCACGTTGTATCCCGCGTTAAGGATCACCGAAGTCAGCATCATCAGCCCCACGACGACACTTGGGCTTCCAATACCTCCACTTTTTCCGTTGTCTTGGTAAAGTATCTCTATTGTCACTCCAGTAAAAGCCATCAGAACGCCAAACAGCTTCTTGCATGATACTTGTTCGTGCAGTAAGCAGATGGAGAAGCAATACACGAACAGTGGCGAGCTGTTGAAGATTGCAGCTCCAGCAGCCACTGTCAAGTTTTGCAGCGCTGAAAACCAGAAGTAGTCGCACAACAAGTAGAAAACACCGAGAAACGCGGATAGACGGGTCAACTGTCGTAAAGGAATAATGGAGTGTCTTCTCAGTACACTCAACATGTCGTGTCCAGCATGGCGATCCTCAGCTGTCCCGCATATGCGATAGTAGACGAAAATGGACGGCAAAAACACGACCTGTGGAAGCAGTAATGATTTTATAGATGCGCGTAGGAATTTGCGAATGATAGCAGCACTGACTGGAGCGGCGTGGCAGAAGCACATGACGAAGAATGGCTTGTTGAAGTGGATGGATGTCTACATAGCGATAAAATGCAGGACACGCTTTATAAACTAGCAATTCTACTTTACGCTACATATCATGTATCGTACCTGAAGAAATTGCACGGCTTCAGCTTGAAAGATGTTCGTCCAGATGACCACTGTGAAAACATACATCGCATGCTTTAGAATAGGAACTGTAAGCCTAAGTAAGAGATATCAGTACCGCATACCAAATAGAGCGAGCAATCCCACAAACTTTGTGCGAAGATACGCTTTTGTCTTTTCTCCTTTCTCCCCAGTTGATTCATCTAGCAGCTTCGTCTTCTCGTCCGGCAGAACCATGACCGATGCTGGCACAACGCAAGATGTGCACGATTGCTCTCGACAATCTTTCGTCGAGAGGACCGAAACACCCTGGTCGTTTCGTGCGTCCATGACAGCGTGTAAGCTCTTGGAAGCAAGTTGGCAAATAGGGACACTCTTGAGGATAAGACAGCAATACAAGGACTGATGTCTTAAGCGTCACTGTAGAGCAAGAGCTTCAACCACTTTCATTGACGTTACGTCCAGAATTGATTGGTCACGATGATCGAGTCGCGTCAACATTTCATTAGTAATTGCCAAATATTATGAAATTTGTATCCTCACAGCAAGATACACTATAAAATTTTAGTTAACCGTTGCGAAAAATGGCCAACCTATGACTCATAGGTGGGCCATTTTTCTGATCGCAGACACGAGTCCTGGCAGCAATAGTGTTGGAGGGATGATTTGCGCAGAGTTGTTAGGGCAGCACAGAATGGAGTGAGGACAAAAGTAGAGTGGTCTAGGCGGCCATAGTGGAGAGGAAGTCTTGAGTGTAGGAGGAGAAGACGCTTGTGTCGGACTTGGTAAAAGGAGAAGACACTTGTGTTGGACTTGGTAAAAGGAGAAGACACTGGTAAAAGAAGAAGTGATGAATTATAGAGTCTGGTGTTCTGGTGGGGGAGTTACTCTCCACCAACCAGTCCAGTTATGTACGATTTCTCTAAATGAAATAGTACAGTTATATTTCACTAGATAGTCATCGTCACATCGGAGATGCTTACTTCGACAGCCTCCCACATCGAGGGATGTGTATGATGCTCTATCTGTCGGATAGTATTTAATGTACCACAGGTGGCTGTTATAACAGTCCTGTACGTACATGAGCATTTACAAGAAGTAGATCTTGTTTTGATATTGATGATCTTTTTCCTTTGACTTTCATTGTCAGATTTGTCACCTTGTGCCGTTTGCTTTGGCAATAACTGTGCTGATTTCTTGTTTTCATTGTTATTTTGGCTACTCAGGAAAACCTTAGAGGATTAAACCTGTTCACCGTAGTGATTGTTGTTGCTATCGTTTTAGCTATACGAATTTGTAGCAGCTACTTCAGGGAAACCTTTAATTTTAAGGATCAAAACCTGTTCGCTGAATTGTTGCTGTTATCGTTTTAGCTTTACAAATTTGTAGAAGCTACCTCAGGAAAACCTTTAATTTTAAGAATCAAAACCTGTTCGCTCTGTTGTTGGCTACTCAGGAAACCTTTGAGGATACACCTGATCACCGTATTTATCTTTATATATTTTGTGTAAGCGTTTTAGCTTTGTTCATTTCTTAAACTGCCATTGTTTTGCTCTTTCATATGTAGATATTTCTTCACAATGTGTCGTTTCGTTTTTGTTTTTCTTTTCATTGCTGAGGTCTTATAGAATTGCCTCCCAATTTCATGAAATGGTTGATATAGGTGTTGCAGTCATTGAAAAATTGTTCTGACTATTGTTATTGAGAGCTTATAGTTTTCAAATATTTTTGAAGAAAGGCTACAGCTTTTAAGAGCATAAATAGCATCAAACAGTGTCATCGGTAGCGTACGCATCATATTTGCAGTAAGTGCGCAGGCTCTCGTCGTTGGGGTTATTTTTCTCCCTTGAGGCTCATCGAGCTGTTTCTCGTTTGGAAGTTTATAATTTTATTTTTACTTCGCAAGCGCTAGCGATAGATTTGCAAATATCGAATTCATTGTAGATGAAATTAATGCAGTAAAACTATAGTTTGCTTTCTGTAGACAGAGGCTTTTGTAGGCTTGTCTTGTAGTCATACAGTGCTGAATATTTTTTTTTTATTCGTTCTTATGGTACTGTTATGGAAATGTTTGAAACTTTTGCCAGTGACAATAAATGTTAAAGTTTGGCGAATACATGAAAAGTTTTTGGCATTGATGCCTCCCAGTTTCATACATTTATTTAAGTATTTCTCTCTCAGCGTTTTTTTTTGTCGTACAAGCTAGGCAGTCTTTGTGAAATTTGCAATTTTGTATTTGCATTATGCAAATTGCATATTTGTTTTTGCTCATTATATTTCTTTTGTGAATGTAGCATAAATATGTTTTGAGCAGCTAGGTAGCAATGCTTGCAATATTCTCAGTAGGAACACACTTCACTCACATTTTACCTATTATAGCTCACATCTTTGGGGCATTTTTCTCCCTAGTGGCTCTTCGGATTGTATTCCGGATTTTATTATACTTCGAAGTAGTGAGAAGCATGCACACTATTTAGTCAATTGACAGAGACATTGCTCATGCAAAAAAGTGTTATTGCTCGGTAAGCGTAGATGGAGGCATTGTTAGCACATCTTTACTGTTCAGGAAGCTGAATGTCTTGGTAGTATGCCATTCATTATCTGTCGAGACATTTTACATGTACAGCAGAGGCTTATACATTTTTGTTATTGCCTTTCATTTTCACCTTGACTAAGTTATTTTCAAGTTCCTCATTTTTATTTGACTTATCTTTTCAGATTTAAAGCCTCCCGGTTTCTGTGTTTTCACTCTTTATTCCTTTTTCTTTAGGGATTGTCGGTAGTGGCAGCGGCTCAGTGGCTTACCTGGACTTTGGTTTCTCTTACTTATGTTTCTTTGTGAACAGATACTAGTACTACTAGTAGTATGTAGCAACGTCGATGGCAGTGGCTCGTTGGCTTGCCTACTTTGGATTCTCTTCTTTCATTTTTGAATCAAAACTTTTGATTGTCGGATCATACAATAAATGACACTTTGCCTGAATATGCAGAGGCACGGTGGCTTGCTTTCTTCGCACTACAATGGTAGTATACTGCCATTATTGTTTGTGGTAACAGTGGAGATAGTAATTTGATAATTCCAACATTATCTTGGGCGATATTACAGCCCGCATACTCTGCTGATAGCAGGCTCGTTACGCAGTGCGTATTATAGTGGGCGATATTACAGCCCGTATGCTCCGCTTGTTGCGGGTCAATGCGGGGGCGACATTTCTGCCCATGTACCCCGCTTATAGCGGGCTCAATATACAATGCTTATCATTGTGGGCGCATTTACAACCCAAATGCGCCGCTTATAGCGGGATCATAACGCAGTGCGTATGGTTTGAAGTCTAGGGAGATTTTCTTCTAGCTCAATATCGCGGGGCAGACGTCTTGTCGGCGTCGAGTTCATGCCCTGTTAAGCCAGGTGACGCTCTGCGTTTGAGCCGCCCTTATTGGTAGGAAGGGTCGGGCTTATAGCTTGTTGGCTTGCCGCGTCCAGCTCGCCTCCTATCCGTCATCTGTCCTCTGGCGAAGCGTTGGGGTCTTAATCTGTTGAGCCAGGTGGCGCTTTGCGTTTGAGCGTTGGGCTCATAACCTGTTGGAGGGATGATTTGCGCAGAGTTGTTAGGGCAGCACAGAATGGAGTGAGGACAAAAGTAGAGTGGTCTAGGCGGCCATAGTGGAGAGGAAGTCTTGAGTGTAGGAGGAGAAGACGCTTGTGTCGGACTTGGTAAAAGGAGAAGACACTTGTGTTGGACTTGGTAAAAGGAGAAGACACTGGTAAAAGAAGAAGTGATGAATTATAGAGTCTGGTGTTCTGGTGGGGGAGTTACTCTCCACCAACCAGTCCAGTTATGTACGATTTCTCTATACGAAAAAGTACAGTTATATTCCACTAGATAGTCATCGTCACATCGGAGATGCCTCGTTAGAACCATTTCACCTTCACACTTTTCAAAAATAAGACAAAATACAGAGAAGCCACCAAGTTATTACTGCGATCCATGCTGCTCTCAAAGGCACTACCCATATTCCTCGGTCTATTCCTTGGGCCGCCAGGCGTTCTGTCGACTTGTAGCAGCTGGTCCACGCGTTTCCAAACCAACTTGGAAGGTGTTTGCGTCTGCAACGCTACTCAATGCGATAGTGTCTCCAACGACTACAAGAAACTCAAATCTGGCCAAGTGGGGGTCTACACCACTTCCAAACTTGGCATGCGTTTGACGTATGAAGTGGCAACCATCGATGAGCCTCCGGTCAAGAAACCAACGTTTGAGATCGACGTGTCCAGACAGTACCAGACCATGCTCGGGTTTGGTGGTAGTCTTACGGACTCTGTCGCTATTAACTTGTACAAGCTCTCAGCTGAGCTGCAAGAAATGGTCCTACAGCAGTACTACGCCGACTCCGGTCTACAGTACAGCATGGGTCGTATCCCTATCGGCTCGACGGATTTCTCCACAAGTACCTACACTTACAACGACATGGTGGATGACTTTAAGATGGATAATTTTACCATCGCGTCGGACAAGGCACCGCATTCGAACAAGCTCAATACGATCCACCGTGCCCTCAACAAGTCGACGAATGGGGTGACACTGTTCGCAACCTCCTGGGCTCCGCCGCTATGGATGACGAACGGAGATTCTGTCATCGACTGTACCATGAAAGGGAAACCAGGCGGCAAGTATTGGCAAGCTCTAGCGTTGTACTACTCCAAGTTCTTCGACGCATACAAGGAGGAAGGGATTGACTTCTGGGCCATGAGCGTGCAAAACGAGCCGCAAAAGCCCCCTCTCCCTCTGACGCCGTGGCAGACGCTCCGGATGACTGCTGCAGAAGAAAGAGACTTCATCAAGATGCACCTTGGCCCACTGATGGCTATAAATCATCCAGAGCTGAAGCTCATGGCTAACGACGACCAGAAGACAGGCATCCAATCTCGCAGTGCACCATTTGATGACCCGGAGTCAAGGAAGTACCTTAGCGGTCTGGCCTTCCATTGGTACCAGAACCTTGACTTCATTTTGCCTTTTGCTGGAAACTACAACAATCTGCTAAAATTTTCCGAGACCCACCCAGATATGTTTATGCTTAATACGGAAGCGTGTGAGGGATACCTCCCATCATTGATCGGTACCGGGAGAGGCCCTGCACTCGACGACCCTAAGAAAGCTTGGAAGCGGGCGGAGAACTATGGCCGAGACATCATTGAGGATATCAACAACATGGCAGCCGGATGGGTCGAATGGAACATGGTCTTGGACACAAAAGGAGGCCCGACCTGGGCTCAAAACTATGTGGATGCGGCAATCCTCATTGACGAAAAGAATGGAGCTGAATTCTATAAGCAGCCTATGTTCTACGTTATGGGTCACTTCGCTAAATTTGTGCCACCGGGATCGAAGCGTATCGAGTTCCCAAAGAACAAAAATTTACGCAAATTCCACCGCTGCGCATTTGTGACCCCGAACGACCAAGTTGTGATGCAGTTTATGAATCGCAATAACGCGGGCGTCACGATAAGTGTCAAGCAAACAGACTCAGACACGTTCACTCTGAGCCTACCAGCCCATTCTTTGCAGACTGTGATCCTGCCGGCGTCGGACGCGACCAAGATACTGTAGAGAAGTATAAGCCAGAAATTCGGTCCTGTCACTTATTAATAAGCAACATGGAATGACTCTGCTAAGCTGTCAACGTAGTACTTAGCAACTACTACCTCCGCTCGGAAATAGATAACCATTTGTTTTTTTTGCGCAGCGCTCCGCCTCGTTCATTTAAGCGTTTATTAATTTGTGAGAGGCTGGCTAGCTAGCTTTATGGCCGAGAGCTGACAGTGAGAAACTAAGGCGTTCATGCTCCGCCGTGCAACTACAGATACAAAAACGGATCTAAGACGGCAACTACATCGCCACATTCTGAAGGGGCGCTCAGTGGGGCTTCTGGAACTTCAGCGGTAGGCGGTGGGGGGCTGCTCGCTGCAAGAAGCAGCATGTACGCGTTAGCATTGGCGAGTGAGGTAGCGTCACAAGGCAGTGACGTAGGGAGAGTGCCAGCTCGTACTTGCTTGTCCTTGTGCCGGAGGCGCGCCAACTTGTGCGTGGGTGTAAGTAGTGGGCGGGTCTGTCTGAGCGCACGCCGTATGTAGCCTTCCTTGATCAGCTGCTGAACCAGGTAGCAGCTCATGTTGGACGCGCGCTGAAGCAGACGCTGGTTTTCGCGCTCATTGACAGGAACTGCAGCGATTCTCTCGCACAGCTCAGCTCGAACCACCTTCTTCCTACCACATGCGCTCTTCCTTGACTTGACCACGGCTGCTTCTCGATCTCCCATCGAATTGATTCCACGCCTCCAAATTCGCTCGACAGCTTGGCGGCCCACACGGAAGTACGCTGCAACCCGAACGATCTCTCCATGTTTGAGCACTCCTCCCACGCTGCGAAGCAGTAAGGTCTCCCAGACGGCCTGGCGCTCACTGTCTGTGATCTCCCCCAGGTGCCAGTCTGGTCGGAAAAGCGCGGGAGATTCGAAATCCATAAAGTGATCGGCATAGAGGGCGTATGTTTTTGGGTAGGCTGTAATATAATTTGAAATGGTTATCTTTTTCAGAACGGAGGTAGTACTACTACTGTACATACGATCCTCTCTGTGTTGATAGCGTCAAGAGGCTCTTTTTTTATTATAAAAAGGGACTACAATAAGGAGTTGTACCCAATATATGGTACACACGACACCAGATGACGGGCGTCGTTCACCGCAAAGTAACTCGATTTTGCCGGGTTGCGATGGCATTCCCCACCCAATACTGCAATACTGCGTACGCCTTCGCCCACCAAGGCACCACCCACGTCGCGAAACAGGGTAACGAATGAATAGCGACGACATCTGCCGCCACAAAACCTAAAATCCACTATTGAGTCAAACCCAACTCGCGTGTTTTAGTTACAACGCGCTTTATCGCAGGCAACGATTAGAAACACCATGAAGCAGTATGACCTACTCGAATCATACCATTAGAAGCCCTAAATACAGAGCCGCACCGTTCGGTTCACTTTTCCGAGTTAGACTCAGAGATCACGAATTGGGTCGGCTGGCTGGCAAGAAAACAGATTAAAAAACGAGCTAATTGTAATGTACACGTGCTACTATTAATAGTAGTAACTGAGCATACTGTACCACACACACTATGTTACATGTACTATCAAAAGCAGTATCTTACTACTATTTCAGTATTTTACACAGTAAAAACACACCTAGAGCTATACTAGTATGCAAGATGGATACAGCATAAAGCGGTCAGGTTATTAAAACTGGACACGTACCACAACTAATAGCTAACCTGCGTCAATGCCTTATCGAGTAGCACGTTCTCCAGGCTCGTCGTTAGTGTCGCCAATATTCCCTGACTGATTGTTTGCAGAAGGGTATGAAACGTGTTTACTGTCGAGTCTTGGGGTGTCGGGGCTCCAGAACATATCGGAATGCGATGAACGCACACTTCAACTACGGTCCCTGGTTCCATTGCATCTTCAGAAGGCTGCAGTCGGCCCCAGCCTGTCTCTTGAACCTTAATTCTGCTGAACATCCCGCTCCCTTCCATAATGTTTTCCAAGTGAATACGATGCGATCGCCTTGAACGAATTTTCGAGTAACACACCATTGCGATATCTGCACCGCTTCGCCGCTTTCCAGCACGGCGTTGTAGACTGATTTCGCAACCATCGCGATATTTGGGACCTCGATGGTATACCGCTGACAGCCTTGTATGCTGCTAAAAACCTCCTGGCCTAGTTGCCACAATGTGTTGCACGTTTCAGAGGGCGACGATGGCAGCACAAGTCTGGATCGCGGGTAGAAGGTTATGATACCTTGGCTGCTTTCTTGCTGAGGGCCCACTCGAAATACTTCGTCGGTTTGCAAGAACATTGTTTCTAGCTCTTGAATGCAACTGTCGAAAGGTGCAGCTGGCCCCATGCTGAAAGGGGAGACCATGGGATCGCCAAGCCGCTCGTTAGCAAATTTCCGTAGAGTATCAATGTACATAGCTTGCCTGTTTACTAGGAAACGAAGCTGTTGCTGTTTCTTTTCAGCATCCTGACGTTCTTGTTGCAGCCGAGCAGCTAGGTCTCTCCAGAGAAGGAACGATGAATACTCGCTAGAGCTTGGACTTGCCCACCTCTCTTTGATTTGACGCTGGAGGGATTGCAATTGATGGCATAACTCCAACTCTTGACGCCGCAGTGTGTCACGCGATACTTTTTGGTCATTCCGATAAACCCGGCATCTGACTATCGCGAGCGCTTTGTGTCTATCCGCTTGCCCCGTACTGCGTGAGATATCATCACTCAATGCCTCGTCCCCACCGTTGCTCGGTAGTGTCTCTCTAGCTTCCGAAATAGATGCTGCATCGGGTGTTTCGCGTCTGCACTCCATCGCTGTGACTTTCTTGATCGTTCTTGTGTGATGTTAACAGAGCGCATGCGTGCCCTACCCTCACGCTAGGTCAATGATCTCCTTATTGTAGGATAAGCCGGAGACCCGAACCCTCTTAGAAAGGTAATAATTGAGCGCACCAATGAGACTACAGAAATGAACCAAAATCCATGGATTTAGCCAATCCCATCGCACTAGGGCTAGGTGTTTAGCATACCAGCTTATTTCCGGAACTGTCCGGAATCATTGCGTCTTATCGAATAAAGGGCAATACAAATCTAGCACGTTACGAGCACTTGCTGTATAATTGCACTTTGTGACGGACCGCTGTAGCGAGCATACCAAGGCTTCAGCGCCATCGTAGCATTACTAGTATCAAACTGCAGCTTGAAGGTTGTACACTTGCGGGTTTGACACCCCGCCGCTAATGGGCTACTAAATTACAGTACAGCTAAATATTTTTCTTACAGCGTTTGATTATCAATAGATATCTAAACATGTAAGCCTAGTCAAACATTCAGTTTAACTACTACATGCCAGCATTTGATTCAGCGACACAACTTCACATCGAAACCAGCTCCTGCAGGATCCGAGCTTTCTCCGCAAACTCGTGCTTGATGTCCTGATTGCCGATCGAGATCAGCACCATATCCTTGAGCATCCTGAAGCTGGCACACGGCAGCGCGTCAGATGCGCCTCGTGCATGCCCGTGCCGAAGCGGGCCATCTCACCGGTCGAACCCAACTCCACACCCATACTCGGACCAGCGCCGTGTAGACGCGTGAACGAGAACGGCGCCTTGACGTCCACGTAGTTGATACAGGCGCGCAGGATGCCGTTAGCCCGGGCCATTGCCTGGGTGTGGTGTTAGTACGTGGTAAACGGGCCCGTGACGTTAAGCGCCTGTGCGATGGTGCTAGCTGCTTGATCGTGCCCACGTACAGTTGCTGGACTGGGCGTCTCCAGAGTGTACGCGGGCGTGCTTGGCGTGTGGCATAGATGGATATGGCGCCGTCCTTGGCCAAACTGTCGAGCTCGATCTCCCTAGCATTCACGACGACCTTGGACACAGCGAGGGAGCGCGACATCTTGTCTGCGTTGCTGTTCAGGTAATCCTTCAGATGGCTCTCATCCGAAGCCACAAGCATAGCAGCCTCTGACAGCACGTAACAGGAAGGGACAAGAACCAGGTACTACGCACACCTCTTGCACTAACTCCAGAGCCGAGATCAGATCCATCACCTCCGTCCGGCTGGTCCACGTTCAGCGAGTCCAGCAGAACCGCGAATGCGCTGTAGCCCTTGCACTGGTCGATGCTCTCCGGCAGGATGTTAGCGCGCGGATTGGCCAGGTTGCTCGGGTCTGGCCATCCACCACCACGATCATGTCTTCGAGGATCTCGAGGTCCCCGTTGTCCAGCACCCGTGCTCCAGGCTCACCTCCGCGAAGTACTAGTTCCTGCTCTCGGGATGGTAACTGGCCACGGTGGACAGATCGCGCACGTACTCACGCCGCACCAATCCAACTCTACCAACTTGCAAGAGATTAACCACGAATTCACATCGAGCCGTCGCCCACACTACACCGCCACGCTGTAGGGCGCGCGCCGAACACGTACAACTTGGCCATCGATATCAACGGCACCTCGCCCCCCCATATACCCACCCGAATCGCGATGGTTCGTTATCACCCGCTGCCGCTCCACACTCGATCACCGCCGTCGTGCCGCTCGTCCTTCACGCTCGCTCGCTTACCACCAGTGCCACCGTCGCCGCCGCCTCCACGACCGCTCCACACTCGCTCACCAGCTGTCCACTAGATTACGCACTGATGCCGTCGACCTATCCCACTTAACCGCGCCATCAAAATAAAATTTAATTTATGCTGCCAACCACAAATTATGTGAATTGGTTGGTTTGTCCGGAATGAATAATCCTCGTAGCTTGAATCGATTTGATTGCTTCAATTTCAATCAAATCGTATGGGCACCATTCCGGATTCCGTCCGGAATCGGCCAATTACTGTAGATTGGTATTGGCTCATATGTCTCAGGAAATATAACCAATAGCATCTCGTCTTATGTAGATAAACTCTTTTACTTAACGATAAGCATGCCTGTACCGTCCCCCCGACAGCAGGTCTCGACTCCATATACTGTACATGTATTACTACAACCTGATGGCGAGAGTCTGCATGTAATACAATGAACAAACGCTATTTGTTTAGTCACGCTAGAAGGAATAGAGTCAGCTAACGTGATATAAAGTGAGCAGACAAGATCGTTTCGATTTTGTCAGCGCTCAGAAATTGTGAGTTTGGAGCTAGCTCTTTGATCAAGCGAGAGAAGATGTGGTACCGTTTTCCCGTTCAGTCCGGAGTTCCACATACAAAAAGTACCCGATCCTCCAAACTAATAAACGCCAATAGCATCATTCGAATGGCACACACCGGGTGGCGTACACCATTGGCAACATATATCCATCCTTTGCATACCAGAAGAGATCACTCGACAAATGCACGAACTCAAATAGATATTTGCCGATCGGTATACAGTACCAGTAAATGCTTGTACTATTAAAAAATTGGGACGTTTGCCTGTATTTGCCTGTATACATGTACTAAGCAACAAGCGGTTTTAGTTCACATTGTAAAAATAAATTAATAAGAAGACGATTTACCCATTCTTCTCGTCGCACATCCTTCATAAAGGTTACCAAATCGTGAGAGAAGTGTATTAACGGCGCTGCACTCTGGCCCTTCAAGGTTTTGCTGGTTTGGGCACCCGCAAAGTCTTGGATGTTCTCTTTATCGTCTTGCCAGTCGCGAAGAGTCGTGCGAGGGATATTTAGTCTCTTTGATGCGGCTTGGCAGCTTCCTAACGCCTCAGCAGTCGCGATTGCTTCGTGCTTGGTTAGAATTGTATAGGAGCGCTGAGGCGCCATTTCCAGAGTGATAGAAATTCTAACTATAAGTGTTATGCTACCCGTTGGAACCAGTCGATTCAATTTACTCTATCACTGGCTAAAATAAAAACTTGTTCAAATCTTTTATTTTAAACTTCAAGTGTTCGTGGCGGATTTGTATGGTATGGCGGATTTCACCGTCGTTGTCTGTAGTATTGATCAACAGCAGGGTTCGTATTAAATACGTGTTCATCGTAACTAAATAAATAACGAGCCTGACACAAGCAATCACCAACGCAACTCTTAAGTATTTTACATACCGTACAATTAAAAAAAAAATATTTAGAATATCCTTGCTTTTTTCCGCACTTGACGCTTTTTTTTTTAAACACAAGCGCCCCCACCGTGAGAAGAGCCAAGTTCACTGAGTCATGAAAGAGAGCGAGACCGACTGGTGCCGACTACTTGTATTACATTCAGAAGATGAGATGGAGCCTGGGACAGTTATTGAGATGTGTGTTCATCACAAGCTGGCGCGCGCCAGCGCGCCAGTATCGCTTGAATTGGCGTCAAAGCGTTCCCAAAGTTGCTGCACGAACACAGCATGAAAATCCTCGTGAATGTTGTGTCGACCCTCGAAATCGTGTTGCTCGAAAAGGCATTGGCGCACATTTACTCAGGGTTTAAATTAGAGCGACGAATTAGCGATTCCGATGGATATTCTCGTTGCCTAGTATTTACACAGACGCCTTGGGAGAAAACACCCAGGCAAAAATTTGGAGATCGCGGTGCTGAATTTGTGCCGATAACGTGTTCGTCCCGCTAAAGAGAAGTAAATGTTTGAAGAAATATCACGAAAAAAAGAAATGTTGCTATTAATGAAGTAATTTTCCATAATAAAGCGCACCTGGTATTGATACAGTTTTCAAAAACTATTTGAGATTACAGCAGTGAATTGCCGCAAGCTTAGGCGCATATTGTGCGGAAGGTTCTCCGCTTTTCAATGTTTTTTATTTAAGGCACTGTATACTCGCAAAGCCACATCTAAGTGCTAAATCCGATAGTTAATGTGGGTCAGCGCTTTGTCCAGTAGTGTGTTTTCTAGAGTAGTCGTCAGGTTCACCACGCTTTCTTCGGTGATCCTATTCAGCACTTCATGAAATTTGTTGACAATTGCTTTATCCGGTGCTGGGGAGTTATTTTGTACTGGAACGCGATGGATGCATATTTCCACCCCGGTCCCAGGTTCCATCGCATCTGGAGAAGTGTGAATTCGGCTTCAGCCTGTCTCGTCCGCCATTAATCCACTGAAAATGCCCTCTCCTTCAAAGCCGAACTTCCAAGTGGAAAGTATGCGATTGCCTTGGACGAATCGTCTAACTACGCATCGTTGCCGAATTTGACCTGTCTCTCCGCTTTCCAGCACAGGTGCGTCAGAGAAGCTCGCTACCAACGTGTTATTTAAATCCCCGACGTCATACTGCTGGTAGTCTGGTTTGCTGCTAAAATTCTGCAGGTAAAGGTGCCACAAGGTGTTGCTCGTCTCCATTAGCGATGACGGCAAAACAAGTCTAGACCGCGGGTACAGGAATTTAAAAAAATCACCCGCCACTTGGTCAAAGTCCCCTCGAAACACGTCGTCGATTTGTTGGAGCCGTGTTTTCAGCTCTTGAATATAATTGTAGAACGGTGGGGTTGGTTTCTTGGCGAAAGGGAAGACAATGGGCCCGTTGATTTGTTTGCTAAGCACCTTACGCAGAGTGGTGATGTACGAGGGCTGGTTGGTTACCATGAGTTGGAGCTGTTGCTGTTGATTTTCCACATTCTTGCGCTCTTCGTGAAGCCTCGTAGCAAGATCTCTCCATAGAAGAAGAGACGAATACTGGCGAGCTCTTGAACTTGTCCAAATTTCCGTTCTTTGACGCCGTAGGGATTGCAGTTGCTGGCGTAGCTCCATTTCTTGACGTCGTAAGTTATCACGCATGTTTTTCTGGTCATCCCGATAGGTCCGGCTTTTGGGCTAGCGCACGCACTCGACAGCTTTTCACGTTGACGTTGCTCGTACGACCGCAGAGCTCGACAGGAAATGCTGTGGGTTCCACGGAGATAAGCAAACTATCGTTCGCATCGATGAGTGACCGCGTGCCCGTAGTTTCAAGTTGATACTTCCTCGCTGTACTGAGCTGCTTTCCGAAGTGTTTTTTAGGGTGGGAGAGAAACAGCAGAATGCGAAAGGACTCCAGGAGTCCTTTCGCATTCTGCTGTTTCTCTTTCAAAGGAGCGTAGTAAAAAGGGTAGTTTGGACATGTGGTCACAGTACCGGTACCTGCTTTTTAATAGTACCGGTATTGATATTTATCGCGTCTAGGGGTGGAGTAAACTAATGTAACCCGACTCGAACCAATCAGGAGTGGATGTAATCGCTGCTGGTCCCCCTGAGTACGCGTAGCTTTAATTTCAAATACCCCTTTATATCGGATAGATAAGATTAGATGTACCATTGACAAATCACCAAATCGCTCATTGAGGGGGACTTCTTTTCGTCGACGCCCGAATATAAGCCCCTCCCAAATACAGCCAGCTGATCCATACAGACTTTCTAGATTGAACTGTAGAATAAGAGGTTTAGGTCGGATACAGTACAGCCGGATATTAAATAATCGGACCTGTTGGAGGCCAGTATTATAGTACTGGAAATGTGCAGGAATCTACACCTTTGTGCACTCAAATTCGTTCTAAACGGCAATCAAATCCGTGATGAACAATTCAATTACGTAAATTTCTGAGTTTCAATTACCAAATCTGCAAACAAATTCGTTTTTACTGCACACGAATCCGTGCGCGCCAAAATTGAAGGCTGTGCTGAGCTCGCGCTAAACCCGCGCGTCCAAGACAAGGTCAGCCGACGTACTCTCACTTCTCGTTTCACCCTCAACTACGCAGATGCCCCCCCTACAAACATCATACTGTTGCTGAAAAGCAGCGTGTCCTGCAAGCGTACCAGTGTGTGAAACAAGTGCGTGTCAAGCCTACAATCTGCAACAGCGAAGTCAATCTGTTAAAGCGCCAGGAATTTGCTAAAGAGCTCAAAGAACACCAAGGACAAGATAACTGTATTGTGTATTATGACGAAACCAATTTTAGTGTGCACTTGAAGCGTCAAAAAGGAGGCGCTAAGCGAGGAAAGTGTGCTGTCCTTAGGCATCCGCCTTCGAAAGGCGCGAGCCTGCAGGTGCCGTGTGCTGTTTCATCCACCATTGGATTTGTCACCTACCGACTTCAACGAGGCAGCATTCGTATGGACAAAAATGCTGCTTTTGTGGAGGAGATTTACACGGCTGTCAAAGCGTCTGATGAGTCTAGGAAGTGCTATGAGGGATAGATGGTCGTGATCATCATGGACAATGCTCCTGCGCATCGCCAGACGATGATCGAGTCACTAAGCACGCTGACATGGTGTTGCTGCGCTTGGGATCGTACTCCCCAATGTACAACCCCATCGAAGAGTGCTTCAGCGTTTTGAAGGCTCACATCAAGACGGCATTGGCGATAATCTGAGATGAAGTATGCGACCGCACCCGGGTTCCGGACCAAACGGAAGAGGTCCTCTCCATTGCTGAGCGGCAGATGCGTCTTCTGGAAAGAGCTGCGAAGCACAATATGAAGTGGATAGCGCCTGTGTTGGTCTACCGAATGGAACTGCAGTGCAGTAAAGCGGTAAATGCA